AAATGCTGGTATTGTAGCACATGCATCATGCGCGGCTAATGCAGCAGAATGACAAGGACTTGCAAATGTTAATAAATTTTTACATTTTTCTTTTAGTTTTTTTTGAAAGATAAATGTTTCCCCGTCATTACAGATGCGTTATCGCACGATAGAGAAAGAATATTTGTAAAAGGTATCTGAAGTTTATACATTTCTGATTGAAAAGCATTAAATATTTTCTCAGCACTACAATCTCTTGCATTAAGATTAATTAATGTTACTAACTGAGATCTAACATCTAGAGTTTCGGAATCAACAAATTGCACTAAAAACGTCATCTATTTTTCATTAGTTATGTCCGATGTTTTGTCTACAAAAATTGAAAATCTTGTATTCCGAATGCGATTAACCACACGTTCTGTTTCAACGGGACACAAAACGTTTGATGTAATATTTTTGCACTTTGTTCGACCCATGCACATACTTTTCAACACATTTGGATCGTCTCCCAGTTGTTGAAAAAAACTGAGAATGTCTTTTGCAGTGTGATGCGGAATATTTTTTTCAGTAATGAGAGCAGCATATCGAATCTCTGCAGATTTTTTCCGCTTATCAAATGACAAAAGAGATTCATCAGTTTGCGTAATCAAATCATCATCCCATTTGTTTGTTGTTACATCGCTTCTATTCAATTTATCGATATGCCCGTTGGATTCTGCGTGTCGCTCTGTGTTTGAAAGATCACCAGTAATTGTTTTATTACAAATTTTGCAGAATGCCGCGTTTTTATTGTTCGGGACTTCGCATAACCACGATCGGAATTCATTTACTTCCAACCATTGTGATTGAAATCGTTTTTTTTATGTCTTTTATTTTTTTTGTCCCTATCATCTGCACAGGTTTTTTTAATTTTATTTTTGTGACACGCAGAATCCGCATGCCTGGATACGTGCGATGAGCCACACGAGAAAGTTTTATTGCATATATTGCAATAATATTTAGTACAGTCATTGGATACTTTGCATATCCAAGACTTGTAGCGATCATCGCTGAGCCAAGCCTCTATAAATTTTTGCTTAGTTATTGATTTTTGTGTTTTCCATCGCAGATAAATAGAATAGAAACGAAAATGCGAAAGAAAGAAAGAAGAGAAGCAAAGACAGACAATAAGAAGAATGAAATGAGAAGTGCGAAAGAAAGATAAAAAGAGGAAAGTAAAATACAGAATTATTGAAATGTGAAGAAAGAAAAAAAAGAAAAAGTTGTAAAAAGACGTAAAAAGAAATATTATATATACCAAAAAGCTCTCTAAAACAGTAAAACGTTGAAGAAAAAAACGCAAGACTTTGTTGATGAAGCACAACAAAAAGCTAGGTTCGGTGAGATGCTATTAGCGCTATTCGCGTTATTCTATCTTTTTCGTTCCTTACACGTAAAAAAAGATAAAATGATGCAAATAGCGCAAATAGCACCTTTTCCGAATCTGGTGAAACAGTTTTGCGGAAAATGCGCCGCGCGCGGATCTCGGGCGTATCATTATTAAGTTATTACAAAGCTTGGCACTTTTTTGGGAGATAGCGTTGGAAATAATACATGACACTGGCAAGAAGGCATATTATATATTGTTGGAAAAATCTTATTGTCAACTGTCACATGAACCACAAGTAGCGCAATTTGAGTTGTCTACGTTGCTATTTTGAAAACAATAGCGAATATTTTTATGATTAAATTAAGCTTGTTGACATAATATATTATGTGTTTTCATAATCCAAAAAAAGTACCAAAATTACTAATAGATTACACGGGAAAGATATCGCTTGAATGAGACAAGGACATTAAAATGTTATAATATGCATTCTAGAAACAATATAACAATATATAACAATATAACAATATATATTTTTGTAAAATGTTTATTTATTTTTTTTATTAAATTTATGTATTGCTAAAATGTCCAAATTTTAAATTATTCAAATATATAATAAAATATAATTTACACAGACAAATACGGTTTTATACATATTACGAAAGTGACAAACTACCAACTCCTCCCTCTTCTGCTTTTCTACATTTTGTATATTATTATTGTTACAATATAAAATTCAATCTATATGCTATCTATTCTACTTTACTTTCTTAATGCAAGTATTTTATTCTTATTACATAGAAAAATGTATCCTTTTTTATTACACAGCAAAAAGACAAATGAAAGTCACATTACAATAATAATAAATCTTTTCTTTTGCAAAAACTAGAATGTATGAAGTACGATTAAAATTAACTATACATTTAATTAATTTCATATTTTAAACTGAACGACTAATATCGCCGATATTGTAGAATGTTATGTGCACTGCTCTACGTAAAGAGTGATAAGTCAGATTTTATAATTTTGCACATTTTTGTGTGTATATAGAATGAATTATATGCGCCGATGCATATTTTATTTCTATTATAAATAAGATATCATGGTTTCTATCGAAAACAATGTAGAAGCGATCATTACCTGAAGTTATCATTACCCCGCTTTAAGCAGAAAAATCCCATTCGGTTAGCTAAGTGTTAAGATTACGGCACACAATGCTAAATTGCTAAATAACTTTTGTGTTTATTGACATGTAGTACGATCGCTCGCTAAAAAGTCAAATGTGATCTACAAAAAAAATTAACCGATCATGTCTGATTGTTCAGTAAACGGACGCAATATTACATCCATAGTCAATTGTAAACTAGAAGTTATTAATCATAAGCGTTTATTTCACTGTTCAACAAATACAAAAATGTCATTAACATTTGCGTGAATATGGAGATACGCTTAAAATATTTGTTAAATTTATATCTTATTGGTTTATTTTGTTTTGTATACATTTTATATACATTGTTTTTCTTTCTGTATTAATTAAAGCACAGCGTTTGGCAAAGTGCATTATTAGAAATTAATGTCTTGTTTTAATATGAGTTGTAATAAATGATAAAAAATAATTTCATAGTTTGTTTGGTTATTTTATGTCCTTAATATTTGATAATCGATAGTATAAAATAATGAAAAGAATTTAAATGTATTATTATGTTGTGTAATATTTATTATGCTAATAATTTCGGCAAAAGTGTTATAATTATTTGTTTTTTAATTATTACTTTTTAATATATTCAATTTATCGAGTAATTATTTAATATCGATATAACTAAATTTCAATTTTATATATGCATATTTCTCTGATTTTTTGTTCGATATCAATTTATTTATCAGTTATTTTTTTCTTTATGATTTCTTTAATTATTTCATATTTATAAATAAAATCATACAATAATAATTCAATTTTATTTTTATTTTTCTTTAAGTAGTATAAGAACAAGAAAGAGAGCGAGAGAGAGAGAGAGAGAGAGAGAGAGAGAGAGAGAGAGAAAGAAAGTGAGGAAGAGAGAAAAAACATACGAGCGAGACCGAACAAACAGGCCAGGCATGATTCTCGCGGCTCGCAGCGTTAGCTATAGCTATACATCGGAATAGAAAGAGAGCGGTTCTATATATCTGCTCTCTTCTACCGCCCGAAGCGGACCGAAGCGCCGAGCGCACACGTACACGGCTGCTCGCCTGTGTGCGTATCCCCTCCACGCGCTGCTGCTTGCTGTAAGCGTGGCCGAGTTGGCATCTCTGCTGCCGCCTGCGAGCGAGCTTGCGAGCCACACTGCGAATCCTGCGACCTGGGGGTCGATTGTGTATCACGAAGTCTAGTGAAAATCATAAAAGTGAGTTCTCGCTTGATTGGATAATTTTCATCATAGTGAAAATGCGAAAATTCTCATGTGAGATTGCTCGACAAGAAATTTTATGTCGAATTATGTCTAAATGTGTCGAAATTGTGTCGAAAGTGAGCAGTAACTGTTGGTTTAGCCTGTTTAGTAAGCGATGGAGTACATTCTTCTAGGATTAATAGCAGATGATGAAGAATATGAAAACAAAATTCGTCAAAAGAAATTTAATATAATAAGAAAAATATTAAGGGATAGTCAAGATCCATTTGATGTACCCGAAATGACATTTATTAAATTGTACAGGTTAAGTATATAAAAAACTTACGTCCTATTTTAAAAATAATATTGCATATATACATATATATATACATATATATATATGCAATAACATGCATATATATATATATATATATATATATATATGTATACATATTATATATAGAATCTTATATCATAAACATACATATTATGTAATGTTTGTATGTTTCAGGTTACCTAAAATAGCAGTTTTACANTTAATAGATGAGNTAATAAATTTTATGCCAATTCCAAAAAGAAGAACTGCAATTCCTCCACATTTACAAGTAAGTAATGATTATTTCTCTTACTTTTCTTATGTGGTTATATTGTATTTGTTTTTTTAATTTATATAATTTTAGATATTTGCCACACTTCATTTTCTTGCATCCGGTTCTTACCAAC